CCTAGGACTCCAGTAGCAGCCTCAGATAAACGCTCATGGTCAAGGGTCCATATCAGACAAATTGGATTGTTCCAGCTCATCTACCCATACATTGCATTTGGAACCTCAAAGGCCAGCCTACCCCCACCTGAAGCCAGATTTAAAATTAGGTAGTCAGTGTAGTTAGGTAAATCGCGTCTAATAACAAGTGAAATCTAAAATGGAGGCCATGCTGACAATGATTCCGGGAAACAGGACAACTCATGGAATGTTAATGAAGTCCAGAAAGGCCCTAGGCCAAAGTCCACCCCAAAGAAATGTTAATGGAGCCCAAGAAACAGCCCCCAACAGATTTGGAGATAGCCCATCCCAGAGAAGTGATAAGCCCATCCCAAAAGTGATAATTAAGTCCTTTCTGCCCAGATTACTTGTTTGGCCCACCTGTGTCCTAACCCTTCCCCCTTGCATCCCATCACCAAACCTATAAAAAGGGGAATACATTTGCCCGCCAACAGATTCCACCTCTTGGGTCCCCTTCTTCCTCCGGGAGAAGTCTTTTCTGCTGTCCTTTAATAAACTTCTAATTTCTACTCTGACCTTGCCTCGGTGTGCTTTTCCGGGGAAGCAAGGACTGTCACCAGCCAACAGCAGTAGCACACCCACCCATCCAGAGCCCAGTACTGACTTCCTTCCTCTAAAGAAAGAGGACTGGTAAGCAAATAAGGAAGGAACCCAATCCTATGGTAGATGGCAACCTGCTCTGCTGGTCACCAGCATAGCCATCAGCATGGATGATTCTGCAAGCTGGGGGATCCCATCCCGATGAACAAGTCCAGGCAGGAAGCTCTGCAGAAAGTTCCATGATGATCTGGACACCAAAGCAGATTGAGCCCTAGACCCAGACAACAGGGATCTCCCCAGTAGCAGCTGCCATACTGCTGTGCTGCCCACTCCTGAGCCACAGCTGCCCACACCCTTTCACTAGGGCAGAATGTCTTTCCAGTTATTCTGCATACCTAAGAGCAACCAACCCTTTAAGTCTGGTCTATGTCCAGATGTAGTCTTTTACCCTTCAAAACTTCTCCTCCCTACAGGAGCCTATGATCCCAGTTACTCAGGAGGGGATTGCCAGTTCAAGAAAAGTCTGGGCAACTTGTCGAGACCCTGTCTCAAAAAAAAAAAAAAAAAAAAAAAAAATTGAAAGAGCTAAAAAGGCTGGGATGTAGCTCAGTGATAGAGCATCCCAGTTTCAATCCCCAGTACAGAACAAACAAACAACAAAACAATAACAAAAAAACTCTCTCCCTCCAAAGCTCACAAAATTCAAGGAAGTCCATTTGTAATACTGATAGTGGAGGGTAATTTAAACAAAACACTTCTTCCTTTTCTTTGGCCCCTTCCATTTCCTTCTTTCTTTATTTCTGCAGTGCTAAGGGTGGAACCCAGGGCCTCAGGCATGCCAGGCAGCCACTGGTGCTCTACCACTGAGACACACCCCAGCTCTTCCTCTTTTTCTTAGTTCGTGTGTCTTTTTCAGAAAAGATCATAGGCACAACACCCATAAAGCCAACCAAGCAATCAATTTCAGACAGAAACACTTCCAGAAATGGTTGCTTCAGATTCACTGAGATGGCCTTTTATTTAAAACATTACCATTTAGACCAAGAGAGGCAAACAGAGAAAAAAGTGGGGGGGGGGGGAGGATAGAGTTGCAGGTAGAGTGTTGTGGGAATCTGCCAGGGTAGTTCTTGGGTAAAAATTCCACCAATGGAGTCCTCTCTCACACACATCATTAGCTGCTCTGTAACTTCAGAGGCCTGTCTGCCTCCTAAGGTCTACCAAGGGAGGAGTCAACAGAAAGGCCATGTTGGCTGGGGTAGGTCAGTGGTAGAGTACTTACCTAGCATGTCCCAGGCCCTGATGAAAGAAAAGAAAGGAAAGAAAGGAAGAAAGAAAAGAAAGGCTACAGGTCATGGTCATTCTCTCTGCCGCTCACCCCTGAATTTCTAATAGGCATGAAGGTGTGCAGGTAAGTAGGTTGCATTTAAGTAGCAGAACAGAGAGAAGCCTTGGAGGTTGGCAATGTGGTACAATGGTTATAATTAGGGCCCTGGTGGGCTGGGGATGTGGCTCAAGCGGTAGTGCGCTTGCCTGGCATGCGGGCGGCCCGGGTTGGATCCTCAGCACCACATACAAACAAAGATATTATGTCCGCCGAAAACTAAAAAATAAATATTAAAAAAATTCTCTCTCTCCTCTCTCTCTCTCTTTCTTAAAAAAAAAAAAAAAAAAAAAATTAGGGCCCTGGAGTCTGAATCCCTCAGTTGTGGCCCTGGGCAAATTATCTAACACCCCTTTTTGTCTGTTTTGTCATCTGAAGAATGGTGATGCTAATCTAATCTCTGATTACTATAAAGCCTAAATAAGTTAACTAATAAACATATATAGCATTGTGAGGTGGAAGTTGCCTATAGTTCCAGCTACTCAGGAGGCTAAGGCAGGAGGATCACCTGAGCACAGGATTCAAGACCAGCCAGGGCAACATAGAGACCTCAACTCAAAACAAAAACAAAAACTTACAAATATATCCTCTGTGTATGAGGTACTCTGTATGGTATGGTTGGTTACATGCCCCACCCTTTGAGCCTCAGTTAGCTGTCTTCCTTAGATCTATCAGTGGCTTTAAACAAGGATACATGTGACCTCTGGGAGTGACCAGCCAGGTGGGCTAGCCAAGGAGCTGTTAATCCTGTTAATTGTGGAGACCAGATGAGATGAGCAGGGGTAGACATATCAGCTGGCCTCTGGGGCACTTCAGAACTGTGCTGTCCTTCACAGCTGCAACCTGGCCAGAGATGCTGCCACAGAATGTGCTTCCAGCAGCCACTGTTCTACATCCCAGCTCCTTGCAGATTGACTTCAGAGCCAGCACTCTTGGTATTACCACCATGATTCATTCAGTCCCTGAATAAGAAGGCTGCCTGTCCTTGAAAACTGATGGTTACAGACTCCCATTTGGTCACCAACCCCTCCACCTTGCTAGAAAGAAGACAAAAGGGAATATCATTCATTGCCTTTCACAAGGCTGAGAATGCTAGCCTAGAAGGCTCCATCATCAAACCTCCATCCTCCTCCTGGTCCTCATCCTTCCTTCAAAGTCCAAAGGCCTGGGTATGGCTAGGGCTCCTTGCAAGGCCCATTTATACTCATTTGCAAATAAGTGTTCCTCCCCAGGCATTCCTTGCACAGCCTGGACTCCTGTGGAAAAACCATGCCCTTATTCATCCTTCAGAGAGCCCCAGTAGTCTGGCCTTCTTTGCCAGTCCTATCCTACTGCAGATCAATTATAGGAACATGTCCCGCAGTCTTAGGTCTCTATTCCTGAGGCAGCACTTTGTTCCTCAGGAAAACAATCCCAAGTGAGATGCCTGCTCTTTTCTTTTTTTTTTTTTAAGATTTTACAACTTTATTTTTTAATGTGGTGCTAAGGATCAAACCCAATGCCTCACACATGCTACGCAAGTGCTCTACCACTGAGCCACAACCCCAGGCCAAGATGGCTGCTTTTAAACTTCAGCTATTAAGTGCTGACCCTACTCCCATTCCATCCCTGGGTCAGGAGGGACAGAAGAGGCAAGGACACACTTAGCTGCAGCTAAGGCTTGGCATGGGTCATCTTCCCAAGAAAGCCCCCCTCACTAGAATTTGGTGCTCACTCTCTCTCCTATTTACCCCTGGCTGCCAGACCACATTCTCTTCCAGGCACAATCATGGCTGACTCCCAGGGGATGTCAGGCAGTCTTCAGGGTCTGTCCCAAGATGGCAAAGCCCCAGCGCAGGAAGCCCTCCCCATCTCAGAGCCTGCCAAGTTCCCTGACCAGGTGGAGATGGAATGTGCAAAAAAACATATCTTTTTTGCAGCTTCCACTAGCTCTCTTCCATAGCAGGTCAGCTGAGCTACTACGGGCTTTGAAAATGTCTCAGAAGACTGGTCAAGTGTAGCCATGGAATAAGTCAGGGGCTCTGGGATGGATCCCCAGGTCTGCCACATGAAAGCTAATCCCGGCCAAGAAGGCGCAGAGCTATAGAGCCCTTCCCTGTGATCCTCAGTCTATCCCCTCACGGCCATCTCTGGTCCTATCCTGACCCCAGCACCAGCTGCACATTCATATTTGTTGAATGAGTGAATGAATGAATGAATGAATGAATAACCCCTTGCTAGCCCAGCTACTTGGTGGGTAAGAGTGTCAGGACTCTCTGGGGTTTCCAAGCTGCCCTGTGGGCTGCCACTCCCGCCACGTTTGTGGAGCCATGGAGCTCTGAACTCTGAGGCACCGGCAAGTATAGGGGAAGTGCCCTGTACTGGAGTACCAGGTCTGCATCTGTGCTGGGGTTCCGGATCTGCCACAGAGCAGGTGTGAGGCAAGAGCCTGTCCTTCCTGTTAGCTTTCTCATCTCTAGAGATGGCCGGGGCTGAACAGTCCACGAAACCCTGGCGGAGGTGTCTGTGGCCTCGCCTCTCCCCGCTCTCTCAAGCACCTGCGGGTGAGGGGCGCGGCCCGCCCGCCCACCCAGGCGACATCCACGTGAAGAGAAGACAACAAAGCCAGTACCGCCGCCCAAAGGGAGGACCACTGGGCCACAGAGAAGAACATGGGGTTCCGCTGCCTTGTCCAGGATCGCCGCTGCGGGGCGGGCCGGCTACAGGGGACGCGCTCCCGCGTGTGCGGGCCGCCCACGAAGGGACTGGACAGAAACGAGGTTGGCGGCGGGGCGGACCCACGTCCGGGCTGGGGGCTCTCACCCGACGCCAGGCGCAGGGCGGCGGAGTGCTCCGGGAAACATTTTGAGGCATGCGTCTCTCCAGCCCTCCCCTGGTCCCGACCCCAGGCGCAGACACCCGAGACCGAGACGAGGAGAGCGCGGGCGGTGTGCCCCCACCTGAGCTCGGTGGAGACCCCTGCGATGGCGCCGGGCCAGGGAACACAGGGCCGGGCGCCCAAGAGCCAAGGCATACTCACCACCCAGACGCCGCGCGGGAATTCGGGCGCAGGGCGCGTCCGCACCAAGGCAAAGTCCCCAAAGCGCACGGAGAGAGCCCGGACGCGGGCCGGATGACCAGCTTCCGTCCCTCGCGCCCTCACGCGGCGCCCCGCCTCCGACCGCGCCGCCCCGCCTCCGACGCGCCTCCAGCTTCCCGCCTCCCGCCTGCCTCTGGGGAAATTGAACACGCGCCAGGCTGGGTAGTCGGCGAGAAAGGGGAATCCCGGAGCCGGCGGGAGAGGTCTCCAAATCCGGGATTCTGTCCCGCCCCAAGGGCTGCCACGGGCCTGATTCTGGCCCGGCACAAAAATTGGTAGCAATGGGGCTGGGGATGTGGCTCAAGCGGTAGCGCGCTCGCCTGGCATGCGTGCGGCCCGGGTTCGATTCTCAGCACCACATACCAACAAAGATGTTGT